AGAAGAGCATCCTTGAGCCATCTCAGAGCCCTTTCTGGTGTGGAAGGTCTCGAAATCAGCCCGGCGAAGGCTTTGCTCACTGTCGGGAGCAAGTAGTCCATGTCCTGGAATGCCTTCTCGGATACCAGTCGCCGGACCGTGGCCACCCAGGTAGTCCCCCCGTGAAGCTGTACTTCGGAGCAATCAAGGGGACCGGGCGGGTTGCGGTTGATTCGTGCTGCTGAGACCGTCTTGGTCTGCCAGGCCTTCAGCTCCACGGTGTTACTGGTGTGGATCAGGTCCTTAGGGTGAACATGCTGGAGGTCATTGAAACGAGCGCTGCACCCTACTTGGAACCGGGCGAAACCCAGGATGCGTCCAGTACCTCGTGTCTGCTCCTCCCCGGGGCCGCCTGCGTACCGGGGCCGGTGGCACCCAGGTGATCGTAGCCAGCCCCTTCCTCCAGAGCCCATATGACCTCTTTGCTGGGGACCACCGCCTTGCGCTGCGGCCGGGTGACCGTGTCCGTGAGTGCCTCTTCCAACGAGCTCTTCTTGGACTTGAGGCGATGGAGCTTGTCTATCTTCAGCATACCGAAGGTCTTGGAATACCATTTGAGGGTGTTCCACACCTGCCGTAGCTTGTACGGGGTGACCTCGAGATTTTAACAGGGAGAGGGGGGAGCGCGACCCAGAAACCCCCCAAAAGCACGGAGGGGGAGACCGACCAGGTGGGGGATTCCCCAAAACCTCAAGGGGACCTCAAGGAAACCATGAGTCGGCCGCAGCCACTTTTTCCGAACCGTGGCTGAGATGGCCCGTCCTTGGGGCAGCTAATGCATGTGGCCTCATGGTCGAGGAGATCAAGCTGCCGTGACGTGGCTCCACTGCCATGCCACCGGAAAAACCCACGTGCGCCACCAAAAATAAGAGAGGAAACAGTGGTGAAAACCGAACCCAATAAGGAAGACATTTCCCCCGCCCCCCGGAGACGGGGCCAATGGCACCCAAGTCCCGGGAGGAAGAGATCACACGACTCCCACATCCGACAGGGTTGTGAGACAAAACCTAGCGGCTCCCTCCCTTCAGGATCGCCTCCTTCGCCACCGAGTGGATTGCCGCCAGCCCCGACTTCTCCGGGTTGCTCAGGATGACCGACCACAAGGCCGTGGAGACATCCCCCATACTGCTCGAGGAGCTGGAATTGGCTCCACACTCTTGTAGAACCCCATCCGATCGCGGATCCACTGATTGTACAGCTGCTCCGGGGGCTCGTCCATCACCAACTGCAAGCAGGTGGCCTTATCCCTGTGCCACCCCGTGATCTGGAGCAGCCTGGTCCCCCTGCGGCTCGCCTTCCAAAAGCCCTTGCAAAATCTGCACATATAGCCCCCCGTGGTCTTGAACTTTTCCTTGCTCACCACTTATGCTTGGCAAGACCGAGCCACACTCCACGGAGCCCCAAAACACATGCTTCGCCTCCTTGGGGAAGTGCTTGTTGACGTACTTTTGGCCCGCGACCGCCGTCACCGTGGCCGTGGTGATGGGCGGGTACCGCCTGGTGCCCTGGTCTGGGGTGCGGAGCGTGGTGTCTGCCCCCCCAGGACCTTGGCCTTTGGGTCCGCCTCCTTGGCCGCTCCCCCCCCCGGGGCCAACGGCACCCAAGGGGGGGGAGCAACCCAGCTGGAGTAGCCCAACCTGTCATACAAGGCCCCCGCCGCCTCCTGCGGGACCTGCTCGACCCAGTCGTGGACCACATTGCAGCGCCAATTGACCTTCACCTCCACCATCGACGACTTGCTCAGGCCCGCCACCAACTTGGTGTAGACCGAGTCGAAGGCCTTCAGCGAGGCCAGCGGGAGGGTGATCCGTTCGTCGCAAATTGCCCTGAACCGCAGCGCCTCCTTACTGTCATGGATGGGGGCCACCGGCATCTCCATCACGGGCAACGGGCAGTTCACGATGAAATTCTTTGCCGCCAAGAATGTCCCCATCTCCTTGAAGATGTAACTCCACTCCTCCTTGCTGTGCGGCTTGGGGATGCCCAGGCTCTCCAGGAAGGGCACCGCCTCCTTCCTCATCTGGATAATGTTGCCCATGAGGTCGAGCCCTCCGCATCCCGGCGTTGCGTCTTCACAATTAACGGGAAGGTGGTCCAGGCCAAGTAGATATACTTAAATGTGAACCTGTGGGCGTACACTCCCGTCAGGCTCGGCAGGTCCCACGTTCTCGTCTGCGGTTCACCTGAGCCCGGATCTCCAAGGCCGTGTAGATGACTGGGTCGATGTGGTCTCTCGCACGTGCATGGGTGAGTCCTGCGCTCAAGGGCCAGGAGCTCCTCCGGCGCGAGCTTAAACTGCTGGTCAGCGCCCCGGGGGATCTCACCGCTTGCGTGCTTCCTCCAAACCCCCCAAACATCCGGAGCTCTCCCTGGTGCCGCTTCATTGCCCAGAGGATAAGGGACAGCTTGCCGTCCTCAGAGTCCAGGTCCTGCTGGGACATGGGCTGGCCCTTCCCGGGGCCGGTGGCACCCTTGGGGGGGGCCGGTGCCTCCAGCTCGGGCATCTCCTCCAGCAGTGCCTCCTGGTGCTACGGGTTCTGCGACGCTCTGAGCATCTTGATGTAGGGGACATACTTCTCCTTGATGTCCCCCACCGGGGGGATGTCGTCGGGGTCCTCCAGCTCCAGGGGGCAGAATAGGCCCCTCTCCAGGGCCTTCCTGAGATCATCCGGCCACGCCGACTTCCAAGAGTGTGGTTGAGCATCCATGCCTGGTTGGTGTCCTGGATTCGCTTGTTTGCCGCCTGGGCCTCCTGAATGGAGCCCATCGCCTCAGCCAATGCCTGGCTGGCGTCAACGCCCTTCCCCTCCAAGTACTGGTCTCTCAGCTTGGCCTAAACGCTCCAGGTTGACCTTCCTGAGGGCACGGGCTCCCTCGTTGGCCACCTCATCTGACGGCATGCCCTCCTGGAGGGGCGCCAGGATCGCCATCTCGTTGTCCAGCATCTCCTCAGTGACCAACTCCTTGTGCAGCTGCCTCCTCCGGAGTCGGCTCCCGCTGCTCCCGCAAGGCCTTATGCAGCTCCTCCTTCTTCCTGATCGCCTGGTCCACCTGGGGATGGTAGAGCTCGAAGCTCTGAGCCTCCGCCTCTTTCAGGGACCGCTGCACTTTGACCCGGATCTCCTGGCTTTCCCGGACCTTCATCGCCTCGTCATCCGCCTCCATGGACAGGATCTCCTGCCGGATGTCCACCCGCATGTTAAGCGGGACCGCATCTGCCATGGTGATCTCATCAGCCGAGTCCGTTTTTGGAGGGGCTCTCCCCAAGACCGTGCCGTCCACCAAGTTGCGGTCGGCCTGTGCCAGGGTACCACCGGGGCCAACGGCACCCAGGCTTCCCCATTCCCGCTGCTGGATCCAGATTGGCTTGCCCTCCAAGATGAGCAGGTTGTAGGTGATGCCGTCCGCCTCATAGGTGGCCGAGGGTGCCTGGAAGGGGGCGGACTCCTTGCCGGGGCAGACCCAGCACTGCTTGGCTGCCTCTGGCCACCCCGTTCCGCATGCCTTGCACATGAACTTGTAGTCGGAATGACCTGCGTCGAGCCTGTACATGCGCTGGGTGCCGATACACGCCTTGTTCCTCTGGAACTGCGAAGCCCAGACCTCCTCCTGGCGGAGCTGGATCTTCATCGGGACGTACGCCTCCAAGATGCGGATCACCAGGTCCTCCGTGAGGTTCTTCCCAACAAACTTGTAAAACAGGGAGACCGCCTCCTCCACCGTGATGTCTCTCAGCAAGCTGGAAGGACTGGAAACAAGTCCGGGAGGTCCACCAGCTTGAAGTACCCAGGTTTTCCGTCCACCGGCACCAAGGTGACAGGTTTGTTGGCCTGAGACGTAGCCTTCTGAGAAGCCGCCACAAAGCCCTTCAGTCTCTTCGTGGGTGGCGTCTGCGCCTCCTCCGGTGGTGTGGCCCGCTCCGTGCCGTCCGCATCCCCCATGTCCCTGTCGCCCTCCTCGGCGGGGCCAGGGGCACCCAAGCCGGGAGTCGGTGTGGCAAATGCCACTTGGAGACGCTCCAGTGCACTGGAGAGGTCATTCATCACATCGGTCGCCGAAGCTGACGGGGGGGCCTCGGGCTCGTCCAAAACCAAGCCGGCCGCCACTGCCGCCTCCCGTGTGCGAATGTCCTGGGCCTCCTGGCTGGCCATTTCAACCTCCTCCACGGTGAGTGTCTGGTCCTCAATCAACTCAAAGGAAGTTGCCGAGGTTGCCGAGGAAGCCATTGCTTGGTCGGGGTTAAGTTCGAACATGCAAAAGATCAAAGTTTTTCAATCAGCTTGGGTTCCAGGAACCCAGAGCAATGCTTGAGCCAAAATGGCACATGCCATTATGGTCAAGCATTCCACACACAGTTCATGTTTCCACATGCGTTTCAACATTAACAAACTGTTGCTGGTTTTTGGGGTAAAGTGCATGGAAAAAAAAGATCGCCAGTGGCGATCCAGGTGGTACCGTTTCTTGGGGCTGGTTTTATCGGGAAACCAGAAGGAAACAACGAGATCCGTTGATGGTGGGTCCAGAAACCCATCTGCTTTTGACAAGCTCCCAATTGCCAGGGCCGCTCTTTCTGGGCCGCTCGTCCTTTTTGGAGCTGGTACCCTCGTGCGCTATTCTAATGGGGTTTCCCAACAAAAACGGCAAAGCCATTCCCAACTGCAAAAAGACACAACAACCAACAAAAAAACCATTCCCATTCCCATTACCAACAAAAACCAACTGCAAAAAGACACGCCCAGTCCCCAGTCACAAACGCCCAAACCATCTTCTTGCCCCCGCGCCACCTTTGGCTTCCTGTCGTGAGCATGCGAGAGGTTCAGAGATTGGTGGTTTGGGCCAGCCGTGTATCCACCTTACATCCCCCACCAAGAGGAAACTCATCTAGGAGTGGCCCAAGGTGATGTTCCCACAGGATGAAAAGGAAAGTGAAAAGGAAAGCCCTACCAGAGAGCACAGGAGTTCCGCAACATGCCGCACATGGATCTGCCTCGCGTCCAATCCGCGCCAAACTTTGTTGACCCCAAAACCGTGCGTTCGCGTTTGCCTGCTCGGCAGTCCTGGTGGCACCTTATCCACCTTCCCCAGAAAATGTGACTTGCGCACAAGGTGCGCGCAAGGCAGCACAGTGAGTGTCACTGAAAGCCTTGCTGAACCCATCATTGGCTTCCCTCCGGCATCATGTGTTGCACATGAGCTCTCTTGAATTCGTGCACATCAGTGCCCACCGCCAGTTGGCAACAACCTGCCAATTTTGACGGATCTGGTTGGCAATGCTCCCAAGTACGGGGATCCATCCTTTCGCCGTCCTTCCCTTCCGGGCTGAAAGGTGTCCGAAAAATCTAGGCGCTGCAGCCGACGCAGGCATACTTTGGCCCTTCAGCCTTCAGCGACTCGATGGCCGACTTCGTCGCCTCAGAGTCTGAGCCACTCTTCGCAGTGCTCACATCCACGGTGAATTTGATCGCGTCCGCCGCCGCCTCCCAAAGGAAGACGTGAGTCAGAATCAAAACCGGGAATCAAAAGGATTGACCCAGAACCATGCTTCAAGAATTAAGAAGGATATCCGCAACTACTTGTGGTTGGGATTGTCCCTTACTCTCGTTCATCTACCCGGGTTTTGATTGTGGCTCACGTCGCATTTCTGTGGAGCAAAAATATGGCTGTGGGTCAAAGCCGTTTTGGATCCCATTTTGGGGTAGGTGCACCACACATTTTAGGCTTTATTTTAGTGGGGGATTGAATCGGATGTTCACTGGGGGTACGGGATTTTGATCCATGGCCATATATTTCGCACCAGTTGAAATGGATTTGTGGTTTATCCCACTATCCCAAGTGGCGCGAAATGGATTGGGTCCACCCACAGGTTCACCAGAGTCTTTCCTTCAGTTCAGATTAAAAACCCTGCAAACTAGCCGTTGGCTTCGTCTTGTCCTGTTGCTTACCCCTTAAAACTCCCTGCGCCCTGGGGAAGTTCTCATCTTTTACAGACATATAGCCCATGTTACCCAAAAAGTTGAGAAAAGTTTTGTGTTTTTTAGAGGTATAAGCTTGGTTTCAGACACCGCAGAAATATGGAAACCGCGTCTTCGTCTTCCCAAAGAAGTCCCTCCACCCCCTCTTGTTGGCCTCCCTGGTCTCCAATTCTGAGTACACCACTCACTTCCCATCCAGATGGGCCGAACAAAGTCACCAGACTTTTGTGCTTCCCACCCAAATTCTAGGGGCTGAGTCCTTTTCCATTCTTTTCAACCATCGTTCTTTCAATAACCAGCCGTTTTCCCGCTTGTTTGTGTTTTTTTTTTTTTTGGGGGGGGGGTTGGGAGGTTTTGGGGTTTTGGGGGCTTCCTTTTTCCTGCTTGCTTCAGGCAGGTCGAAGTCCTCCAAGACTCTCATCTTTCAGGTTGAAAGCCCCAGCCGGCGGGGGCGGGGGGGGGGGGTCCTTAAAGTCTCACTTCCCGAATTCCGCAACTCGGATGTGATCGTCCCTGTTTGGGTTTGGTTGCCATTTTTCTGAGGGTACCTTCCATGTCCATTCTTTCCAGGGATCCGAATCTTTCTAGAAAACCTCCGGAAACCCATCCCAAAACCTCCCAACCCCCCAACCCCCCCCCAAAAAAAAAAAAAAACACCCAAAACGGCCGCTCCCCGCTCCCCCCCCGCCCCCGAAACTTTCAACCTGAAAGATGAGAGTCTTGGTGGAATCCCGACCTTTCTGAAGCACACAGGACAAAGGAACCCCAAAACCCCCCAATCCTCCCCACCACCCCGCTCCAAATCAATCTCCGCCTTGGTGCGGAGGTAGTAGAGCCCAGTTTTGAGGCCCAGCTGCCAGCCATGGAAGTGCATGGAGGACAGCTTGGCCGTGGTCACGTCCACCATGTGGATGTTCCTCAGACTTCCCCAGCGCTCGTTTTTGTATGGCAGCAACGCCTGCGTTTTGTTGCCGTTCGGCCAAAAAATGGATGGGACCCAAAAAAAACGCGGCAACAACCAACGGTACGTGTTTTTGTGGCAGTCGAACAAGGTGAGATTAGTCTGACCTGGGGAATCGTCTGTAAAGACTCAGAAAGCCCAACAAGTCGTAAGGTTTTTGTTGGGTCATGGTTCAGAGACTGACTCTGGTCGATGTAGGCGCCCCGGTCGGCCGCCATGTCCAGCACCACCTTCTGCTTGATCTCCCAAACTGTCTTGTAGAGGTCCTTCAAGTCCTGGGCCCGAGGGCCAAGCAACGAGCTCCTCATCCCTACCCAACCGGAACCCGTTTCGGGAACCCAACCCTCGGGCTCTCAACTACCCACCCCCATTGTGCCTATACCCCCGCTAGCTAGGGATTCCCGCATGGCTAGTTTGATTGCATGGGTTTGGCGGTCGAACACCTTGCTGGGCCTTCAAGAGCAACTGGGGGGGTCCAATGGGGAAAAACCTGGGACAAAAGCGGAAAGTGACAGAAAACGAACCAGCTTTTCGGAGAAACAAAACGAGAAGAACAAGCAAAAATATAACTTAAAGAATTCAATGGCAATGGCAAGTGCAAGTTTCCCTGCGAACTTCCAAGAAACAAGGCCAACCCTCGTTGATTACTAGGTGTTACCCCCAATGTGAAGGATTCCCTCCCAGAATGTGGCATCTAGTGGTCTCTCTTTTCCAAGACAAGCCATTGGAAGTGGACAAGCACCACAGTCTTTCAACTCCCCCTTCCCCCGGGGGAAAAAAAACAACATGATTGGGTGTCGTTTTTGAGGTAAAAGGGGAACCAAACGGAAAACCACCATTTCGGAGGCCCTGCAAAAGAGGCACACCCAATTGTTGGCAAGAGGCTAAGCTCCATAATTGTTGCCTAAAGCTGCACCAAAAGGAAGACCCAACAACACAACTCTCCTCTCCGCGAGTTGTAACAATAACAACCACAAACACCCCCCCCCAAAAAAAAAAAAAATGCGAGAGGAGACAACAACCACAAACACAAAAGCACGCAAACTCACTTCCACTGTCCGCAGTCCTCAGGCAAGTCCAGCCTCTGCACAGAGCCGTTGTGTGCGATGAGCTTCATGCGCAGCTCGTCGTTCCAAAGCTTCCGGGCGATGAGGTCTTTCAGAAGGTGCCGATTCACCTGAGGGGTGGTTGGTCGTAAAATATGGCTATGCGTCAAAATTAAACCACCAGGAGCCGCTGGTTTTAAGGTTTTAGTCCATGTATCCAATTACCACCCACACCCATATGTGTCATTACTAGGTCCTCCAGTGGAGAGGTTAAAATAAGGGTACCCATGTAGTCTATTTTAGCAGCGGAACCCTCCCCCAAGAAAGGGCAACAGGGCACTACTGGGGAACCTAGATAAAATATGTGGGTATGCCAGGTCAAATGCTTTGCCCACCGACCTGAGATAAGTTGAACCTTCAAACACACCCACTTGAGCAAGTTAGAAGGGCTGGCGATTCCACCAATTCGGGGTTCAAATGGAAACCCAATGATGAAGGCTCTTCACCTGGGGCATTGTTTGGTTTGTGAAGTACAGAAATCCGATGAAGACTATGTGGTTTTTTTCCGAAAGCACTTGGCGCTACTTGGGTTTCGGCCCCCGATTTTTCTCTTCAACATTTCGAGCTTCCCCGCTTCTCGCCCCTCCCAAATTGACGCATTTTGACGCCACGAACGGCGCCGAACCTTTCGCACCTGCACGAATTCACCGGACAGGACCCGGCGCACGTACAAGTTCTGCGTGTAGGGCTCGAAGGACTCGTTGTTGCCCAGGATCTGCCTCGCGCGGATCCAATGCATCCAAGCACCCGGGTTCCTCCGAATAAGCCGTATAGCTTCAGGTTGCCTTATATCAAGTTGACGTATTTCGGGGAAACCAAATTGAGCCTGAACTGAATGCCACATTCAATGTCTGATTTGGGGGAGAAAACAAATTTGGGGAGGCGAGGAGGGAGGGGATCCCTCTATGGACAACATCATGGTCTTGCGGCAGTCAAGCTGCTAACCCCTTGGCCCTGCGATCCCTTTGGCGCCCAGCAGCAACGCTCGTTCCGACGTTCCAAGGGCTTCTGTGCAAAACTTGCTCAACTGCAGCAAGGAGTCACTGGTTTTCCACAAGATGAAGCAGTTTGCAAGAGCAGGACTCCTTTCATGACGTTTAAATCCTGCCACCGTGTCACATTTATTCTTTTGGATGGGTCCTCATGTTGCGTAGCTCGCCGGCAACACCTCTCTTCGTTCATTCCACCCCGAAGTTTGGGGGCAAAAAAGTTGACCCCCAGTTCCTCGTATCTAGTATTCACAGCAGAGGGGAAGATGGGCGGCCAAAAACGAAAACCGGGATCGCCAGTGGCTGCTTTTTTTTGCCCATGCATTTTACCCCAAAAAACCAGCAACGAGTGACTGAGAAAAAAAAAAACAGCCACTTGGCAATCTAGGAAGGTCACAACTCAATTCCAAGCAACCATCGACGTCAGCTCGCCCGACCCTGGTAGCATCCCTTCCCTCGGGTTTCCCTTTGAAACCCATGGCCTTGGCGCCTTTTTTCTTTTTCCGGTTTTTCCTTCTGGGCTTTTGATTCCCCTTTTCGGTTTGGGTTTTCTTTGCGGCTTTGGTTTTGTGGGCTCCCTTTTCCGGCTTGGGTTTTCGTTTCGGCTTTCTCCTTTGTCGTTCCCTCATGGGCACTTAGCTCCCCCCGGGCCACGGACACTTGGAGGTCATTTTGCAGCACCGAGCCCTAAAAATACAGTCCCCAATGCAAATGCTTGCGGAATTCAACTCCAAGCGTCCACCAAAAGAAAGGGGGGCGACGTTTCATGGTTGGTTCCTTTTTGGCTTCACGCTACCCCAGGCTGAACCAAAACAAAGACCAGTTGTTCAATTCCGCTCATGTAGTAACTCCATCTAAATGCATATGTGGCTAGGTCCTCCAGTAGAGAGGTTAGAATAAGGGTACCCTTTTTGCTGTAGTCTATTTTAGTAGGGAACCCTCTCTCAAAAAAGGGTAAAAGGGCACTACTGGGGGACCTAGGTGGAGACCCCCGCTCCCCATATTTGTGTTGTCTTTTCCCCACCCTCTTCCCCCCCAAACAACAACACAAAAAAAAGAGAGAGCAAAGACAAACAGACAAAACAACAAACATGCAACTCATGCTTTGTTTGTGCTTCCCAACAGCATCCAACATCGGCTTCAGTTTCCATTTCCACCCGGGGCGCGCGGTGCTGGCCGTGGGCATGGGCGCCACCAGCAGGGAGTTCCGCAGGCCGTGCTGGGCGATCCGCGCCTTCAGCGCGGTCCAGTCCCAGCGCCCAGTCCCAGGCGCCTTTTGCCACAGGTCGAACTGCAGCAGACCTCACCGAAGGCGCTTCGCCGAAGGCGCTTCGCCGCGAAGCTCTTCGGAAGCCGCGGGCGCTGGAAATGGAGGTGAGTCAGAATTTCCAAAAAATCCAGGTGTTGACTGGCTGAAACAAAGGGACACACGTGAGTCACAATCAAAAGCCGGTATTAAAATGGTCGATCCCCAGAACCATGTGAAGAATTAAGAAGGCGGCCGCAGCTGTTCATGGTTGGGATTATCCCTTACTACCTTCATCTACCCGGGTTTTGATTGTGGCTCACGTGGGCGCGTCGAGGTTGGCTTGTTGAGGCGGAGGGTGCCCAAACTCGGGTTGGTTGGTCGGGCTGGGTGCCCAAATCCGAGTCGGCGGATTGCTTCGAAGGTTGGTGGCTGGGCGCGGTGGCGCGTGGATGTTTTTTTGTTGAGGCGGAGTGTACCCAAGATGGGGGTGGCTATGGGTGTGTCTGTCTTTTTTGGAGTTGGTACACCCCCTTTTGTTGTGGTTTGAAAGAGAAACCAAGAAGGAGGTAGCCTGGTTTTTGTTGGGTGGAAACCAGAAGGACCACCATTTTTTGGGGTAGCCCTTTAAGACAACCCCAACCCTGGGTCCTAAAAGAAGCGTTTTGGGATTGGGATCAGAACTCCCCTCCCTTTAATCCACGATTTAGAGGGGCAGGTTGATCCAGTTTCCGTTTTTCCGACTTCGTTGGATTCCCTCTAGATTGTTGATGCCTGAAGTTCAGCTTACCTGCAATTGCTGGTTGGGATTTCTCTGGTTTGGAGGTTGGGGGCGGCGTACCTTCCCGTTTAGTTTCAAGAAGAACTGGGAAATCCCCATGGATGTCTTTGATGATTTTCTATCATTACCCTTTGGGGAACATTAAAAGTGAGTTCCCATTCGGTGGGTGATGCGTCAAGGGAAAATTTTGGGAAGCAAATGATCTGGCTGATTCCTTTGGTTGGCATAGTAGCTGCTTGTGAGACCTGAGCGCGGGATTTGACCTTTTGGTTTAAGGGCCAAAACCAAGTTGCTCGCAAAAGACAGGCCCCGTAGCTACTGCAAGCTGCAAAAGACAGCGATAAACTACGGCCAACCGCAGGTAGGTTGACCCTTGCCAAATCATCAGCTCTGCATCAACGTCACTTCAACCAAGCCTCCGAACGTTGCAAAACAATGAACTAGCGGTCCAAGCAGGACCCATCTGCCCCCCCCCCAAACATAAACCGAAGACCCCTATTTTTTTGGTGCCCACGGCAGTTTATAAGGAAGTAGACTGTGTCATGCAACACAAGTTACCCTCCTGTCCACGTTGCCATGGAAGCCGACTGAGGGGTTCTGAAAGACCCTTTTTTCCTTTGAAATGGACCATTCCTCTGGGTTCCATGGAGGACAGGAGGGTATTTCATGACTCAACTTGGTTGTGAAGTAACAAGGCCCTTATAGCAGTTTACCTTTGCCAGTTTACTCCATAGGGCATGAAATGACTTCATTTTGGTGTCTCACTTTAGATTGGACCCCCAAAAATGGCGTCGGTTTTCCTACGTAGTGTCCCTTTTAAAACCAAGCCAAGGGGGCTAATTATGTTATGGAGTGGCGCGATGCTACTCGGACAGTATAAGACCTGGCCAGGCCAAAGTTAGATTCAAATCCCCGTTTCGACGTTCTGGTCGCTTTCCGCCGAAGCGTCCCTTGCTGGCGGGGCTGCCCGCGTAGGTCTCATAGGGCCCCTGCACCTCCGCGAGCTCGCAGGAGGCTTCGCAGGCGGCAAAGTAGATCGTCCTCGAAACGAGGACGAAACCGTCCGCCAAGGAGGTCAAAGGTTCAAACGCTGCAAGGCAAAACAGTGGGCGAATGATCACACCAAACGCTGGGACCGGCCAAAATAGGGGGATGATCCAACAAATTCCGGCCGAAAGGGTGGTGAAAGATTCGACCACGCTGGGACCATTCAAGTGGCATCCTCAATGTTTTGCCCTTTTACATACTGGTTTGAACAGAAAACACACCCACACAAAAACAACAACTCTCAACCTCTCAACGTTCTCTTTGAGGACCCAGAGCCTTGATGAGAATAGGGTGTCTGAGGTGTCGCATTTCAGGGATCCTTCACTTTGGGAAAGCATGCATCTTATATTTCTTCATCGGGCAAAGGAGGGGAGGCTGATGATTTTATCACACAAACGAGCAAACGGCTGTCTTTCTTTGGGGCGACCCCCCCCAAAAAAAAACACCTGGATTTCGGATTTCTCTTTCGGTGTACCTTTGAAACCAACCAAAAGAGGGTTCCTCCAAAAAAAACAAGCCCAACGGTTCGATCCGATGATGTGGAGGACGACTCCGGCGAAGGAACTCGAAGATCCTATATTTTGAACCACCTTCATGGACTCGCTCGCCAAAAGAGTAAAAGGAAAAAACGAAGAAGAAGAAGAAGAAGGAAACAACAACAAACATAAGACGAAGAAAAAACAGAAGAAGGAAACAAACAAACAAAAAAACGGAAAACCACGCGCGCGCGCGCGCGCGCGTCGACGCCAACCTTTTTCCGGCGAAGGAGCTCGAAGATCCCCTCGTTGAGCTTCTTGGCCTCTCGGCTCTCAAAGGGCAGCTTCATCATCAGGAAGGCGTCCGCCAGACCTTCCAAAAGGGGAAGGTCAGTCTAACCTCCCGCCCCCGCCAAAGGAAAAACTTGACTCTGGGACTCTGGGCTGTTGTTTGACCCCCATCAAGGGAAAAACCCGACTCTGTGCTTTTGTTTCTTGAGGCGAAGAGTGATTTTTGGGATGGTTAGAGAAGGAAAAGCAAAAGGAAACCGTTGCCATTCTGGGGGGAACCCCTAAAAGACACGTTCATCTTCATGCAACCAAAAGGTGATGCTGAAAACCAACAGGGGAACATATAGCGCTAGCCTTGCCAGGGATGGGCGCTTCAGCCCTTGGTTGAAAAACCTAATTTAAACCCCCTTTTGTTTGTTTAGACGGGACATGTCTTTTTTGATAAAGACAACCATGAGATCCCTAATTTAACCGTCAACCCACCTTAAGCTGCTTAAACAACCTCCACCCAAGCCACAGCGCCAGGATAGTTGCTATATGGGTAACAAAAGACTCGTTGACACCTCTGGTCACACACCTTTCGGGTCTCAGTGCTGAAACCTGGCCATGGTTCAAAACTAATGGTACCATTTTGGGATGGTGCACCAGCCATTTTAGAACCTATTTTAGTGGGGATGGTGATGTTCACTGGGGGTACGATTTGGCTTTGACCCACAGCCACCTCTTTTTTTCGTCTCAGTTGAAGCCCCGCCTTGCACCCCCAGGCCCACAGGGCGGTGCCTCATGTTGGACCTGCGGGCCTCCTCCACGGGATAGTAGTTGCGGTCGATGACCTTGTTCAGGTTCTTCGTCACCACCTTGGTCACCTACAGGGTAGGCTATCCGCTAGGCCGCTGGGCGGTTTAACCTGGTCTTCGCGTTTTGGATAGCCCAATCCGATTTTCCACAATCCCAATCAAAATGGTTCAATCCGATTTTCCATCGTCCCAAGTGATGAGCGCCACGACAAAGGGGACAGCCCCTTGCCGTACATATGGAACCAATACATCTCTACTCTTGGTATGGTATTAAAACACTTTGTTTTTTTTGCAGACCCCCAGTAAAAATGAACAGAACCAAAAAACTAAAAAACTAAAAAGCATGCCAAGAACAGTGAAGAATACCCAAACCAGGGGAACCCATCTATTTCTAATCAAACTCACCGATCAAGGGATCGGATCATGAGCCCCTGATACTGTGCATGGTTGCGAAATCCAGTTCGCACATTCAGAAACCCTGGAATGATGACTCCCCAAAGTCGCCATGTACTGCGGATGGACGAACTCCTCGCATCACTGTTGAGCCGATCTTCAGAACATGGGTTGAATCCCCTTCGAGTCTTTTGGACAACCAGGGACCAGGGAAGGGATTCTCATAAAAAAAAAGAAGAAACAAAAACATGGAATCCCACGTCGGGTTGAAGCAGCGTGTCAACCTTTGTTCCAGCAACCTCCCTCTTGCGGGGCCATGGTCTAGTTTTGCAACATATGGCCGTGTCTTTTTGTTGGGCTACCCCCTTTTTGCTGGCCTTTCAGGCAAAACAGGAAAACAGTCCGAAGTCCTTTTTTTCTTGGACTCCTAGGCTCAAGACGAGCCAGCCATTTGTCCCTTGCTGGGAAACCACGAATCAACGGCTTAGGAATGAACCAAGGCATAAATCCTCTTAAAGGAAGACACCAAATTATATTTTAGTTCGGAGAATTCGCGGGGACTCCTTGCCTATCGAGGCAGCAAGTTGTGCGAACCCAGCTGGGCTCGTCTCCTGGGGAAACCTGTGTTTTTGTGTGTTCCAGTTGGTGTTCCAAAAAAGAGTAGCCTCAAAAGAACTTGGTTGCTTTCCTCCCCTGCTAAAAGCTTAACTTTTAGTGGTTTAATGGAAAACTCATTGGTTGACAAAAAGATAAAGTCCTAACATCCAAGCAACATGCACCAAAGAGAAGACACCCCTCACCTCGTACAGTCTTTGAAAGTCAAAGGCTGCTCCGTCGGAGCTTGCGAAGGAGGGCAAAGCAATGGAGGCGAGGTTGCAAACCGCGATTTCGTCCGGGGAGGTGTACTCCACAATCTCGGTGCAGAGGTTCGAGCAATGGATGGTGCCTTTGTAGCTTGAACCGAGATGCTGAAAGTTGTGACTTTTGAGAAAAAGGACGTGGCATACGTACCACCAACGTCTAAAGAAATCTAAGGAAACATACGGCTGGAAATCGCAGCGAGGTGCCCAAGTTCTGCTGGTTGGACTTGCGATTGCAAGCGTCCTTATACAGCATGTAGGGAGTCCCTGTCTCCATCTGAGCCTCGAGGATTCTGAACCAGAGCTGCTGGGCCTGGGTCAGCCCCGCGGATGTGGGTTCTTGGCCCGGGTTTGGACCATGGGGTCTTTCGGTTTCCGCGGGGGTGAGAAACACCGCTTGGGTCGACCGTTTCTTTTGTTTGAGGCTTCCCCTTTGCAGAGGCAAACCGAAGGGAAACCAAACTCCATTTTGGCTGGGCCCGAGGCCACATTGTCTGGACCCATTTTGCTGATTTCGGGTGGCTTCCGAGACCCCGAACCCCCCTACAGTAACCCTCCTCCCACGAGCCTTCACCGTCTTGCGGCCCTTGCCCTCAGCCTCCAGGCGGCAATAGAGCTGCTCGAACTCCTCGCCCCAGAGATCCATCAGCGTCTTCCCGCTCGCATCGAAGGCCTCGTTGGGGCAGAAGAGCGTCCAGTCCTGCGCAGGAACCGATCCCTGCGTCGTTCCTTGAGGCCAAGGTCCTCCCCCGTGTATTATTTTAACCCTAAAATCTAGCATTAAAAAAAACACTAACTCTAAATATCTAGCATTAAAAAAAACAACTAGCGACCTACAGATGCTCGATGGAGGGACATGATCTGGATGGTGTTCAAGGGAAATCCATTTTTTCGGGGGGGAGTCCTGCAAAGCCACCGACCCTCACTATCCAGCAATCATGGGAGTGGACGGACGTTTGGGGCATCCCCAAAACGAAAGTCGTCTTCCAAAATTATCCTGTCATCTTCCATAATTCTGGGAGGGAGGGCATGCTTTGGGAAAATGTTTCGATATGGGTCAAAATAAGTCGCCAGGACATGGACCGCAGGTCGTAGTTCATGCCAGGGCACCCCATTTCAGGTACTCATTTTCGACCCACAACCAGGTAAACCGGTCGCACCACTCATTCGGCGCGGGACTTGCCGGACAAGAATCCCCCGTGGTCCTTGTTCTCCTTCACGCGTTTCATGAAGAGGTCCGGAATCCAAAGCCCCAGAAAGAGATCCCGGGCGCGCTGCTCCTCCTGGCAGGCGTTGACCGCTCGACATACCCCCCCCCCCTTCTGCTCCCATTTGCTCCCCAGCTAAGAACTGCCACTAAAAAGGGACCCTCACCAGAAGGGCCTCACATGGAAGATCGGTGGCCTTAACCAAATCGCTGGACGTTGAGGTTGAAAAGCGCACGGCCGAGCTGCAGGGGAAAATGGAAAGATACCAGGCTCGCTGGCGCGTGAGGGGAACCACGGAACCGCCCCCACTCACCCGAAGGGTTCCTTGCCGGAAAAGGGCCCAATGGAAGTGCGGCTTGTGTTTGGGGGACCCGCGAAATTGTGGTGTTCCTTCGGTGTTGCTTGGAAACCTTTAAAAAAAACACAGAAACACAGGAGCCAACTCCAAAAAAGAGACCAAGCAACCCACAGAGCCTTTGGGGCAAAAAACACAAGTCCAAAAAACAAACGACATCCGGCCGCGGCCGCGGCCGCGAGCTCCTTGCCGTGGTTCTTCCGCAGCTCCAAAAAGTCGAAGACGTCGGCGTGCCAGGGCTCCAAGTACATGGCGAAGGAGCCCTTGCGCTTGCCCCCGCCCTGGTCCACATACCTCCAGGCAGCTTATTCTTTCGTTTTGGGGAAGCGTCTCCGTACCTCCAGAAACATGAAGTTGAAACCAAAGTGTTTCTCGACTTGTGGACGGGAGTTGTAAGAAAAAAAGAAAATGGCCAGGTGTGGAGGTCGGAAACTGCAATTCTGTGAAGCGTTGATGGAAAACAGGCCTCCCCAACAGCTAGTTCTACACTTAATATTCCCTGGCGCAGACTAGTTGAAAAGGGATGTAGCAATTGGATTGGATTTGGCTTCTTCTCTTTTCGCACACGTGTTGTATTTTGCGTGTCATCGCCACACCACAACGCCACTGGGCTGGCTGCTTTTCAAGCAGGCTTAAAGTTTGGGGTTGTATATTGGGTGGGTGGGTGGGTGGGTGGGTGGGTGGGTGGGTGGGTGGGGCCGCTGCAGGCGGGGCAGCAGCGGGGGCTGGCGGGTCTGCAGCAGCAGGAGGCGCGCGGCGCCGGGCTTGCAGCGCCAAGCACTATTTGTTCTTTTTCATGTGTGAGCCCAGCCCCTGGGAGTTCTGGAAGGCATCGCCGCAGAAGTTGCACCTCGCGCCCTCCGCGGCTGTTTCTTCTTCTTCTTCTTCTTCTTCTTCTCTCCTCCTCATCTTCTCCGCTCGCTCCGCTCGTCGCCGCGCAACCCTGGCGGCAGCGCGGAAGCCAAAATTCAACCAAACACAAAGCGCAATATCTAGCTCAAAGGAGAACCAGTCCAAACTGTGTCAAGCTAGCCGCTTTGATGGATGGACTTGTGGAATGCGCAAAGTGACCGGAAGCGTGCTGGATTTGCATTGGAATTGCCTTAGGGCCAGCTTCTGCCAAGGACGAAAAAAACAAGGTCTGCTTCAACCACGTGTGGGCCCCCTTATCATGGGCGATGCTACGTGCGACGCTGCCCGCCTTTCTTCGGCCTCCGCAACCTCGCGCGCCAGAGCCCAGTTGCGCACTACGCTGTCCATGTGGTGTATCATGAATTGGGAAAGCAGGCTCCCTGCATGCTTGATACTCCTTCGCGCGCTGCGCGTGCAATGAGGCGCCTGCCCGTGTCCTGAAAAAATGCACTGCCGAGAGCTTTGCGCTTGAGCCCTGCATCCCTGCTCAGTGGTTTCTTCGTTTTTGCCGCCCAAGGATCTCAGGAGAAGCTTCCCATTTGCGAGGCCTTGTTTCAGGAAGCTCGCGGAACTGAATCGAATCGGCTGTCGCGAATCGCACCGAACCGGAACCGGCGTGAACCGGCCGCGCGATTCCTGGACACGAATCGACACCAAGTACGCCAACCCGGCGAAACGAAACGAAACGAATCGGCTGATTGGCGGTTTCCGAACCGAATGGAATCGAAACGGGCCGGTTGGAGCGCAGAGCTGGCAAAGAGAACAGGCAAACAAGCCGGGATGCGGCTGGAGGAAGAAAGTCTAAGAGATTGCATGGGTAGACAGGTTAAGGTCCAAAGGTTGAGCTGCAGGTGGAAGCCAAAAGGTTGGAGGCCAGAGCTTGGAGCCCAAAGGTTGCAGGCCAGCGCTTGGAGCCCACAGGTTCGAGGCCAGAGCTTGGAGCCCAAAGGTTGGAGCCCAGAGCTTGGAGCTCAAAGGTTGCAGGCCAGAGCTTGGAGCCCAAAGGTTCGAGGCCAGAGCTTGGAGCCCAAAGGTTGGAGCCCAGAGCTTGGAGCTCAAAGGTTGGAGGCCAGAGCTCGGAGCTCAAAGGTTGGAGGCCGGAGCTTGAAGCCCAAAGGTTGCAGGCCAGAGCTTGGCGCCCAGAAGTTGGCCAGAGCTTGGAGCCCAAAGGTTGGAGCCCAGAGCTTGGAGCCCAAAGGTTGGAGCCCATAGCTTGCCAGGGCTTGAAGCTCAAAGGTTGGAGGGGAGGACAGAGCTCTTCACTGGAGGCAAGCGGGGTTGCCATGACCATCACACGCTGCGGTGCCATGCCAAGGTTTGGTGGACAGTGGACGCTCAGGGGGCTGTCAATTGCCACACACACCCAGAACTCAGGATCTCGCTTGCTATCAAAAAACCTTTTTGTTGGGTAGTTGGCTTGAAAAGGAAAGGAAGGCGCCACTGAAAAATCAGGGTGCCGATCACCTTCCATGCGACCCTAATTGGTTAGTGGTTTGGAAGTTTGGGGGCAACGCTGACCTTCACATCTGCTTTCAAGCAACAGGCGGCTCAAATCCTCAAGCGACCACTGCAAATCAAGGGGTGAAGAAATGCAATAAACAACTTAGACAGTTGATCAAGGGGTTCATACACCCAAAATCCCCCAGTTCACCCATATGGCGGGCCCTTCTCACCTCTCTAAAAACGAAACCCTTTTTCTTTGGACAGTTCACACGGCTAGAAATGCGCCGGTGGGACCTACTTTAGGAAACACTATGTCGATCCAGTTGCCCCCGAAATATTTCCTGAATCAAAGTTCGTTTGGACCCCTCTAAAACAGTCTTCCCGGGGTCCTGCCCTGCCAAAACATGAAAAGGGAAGAGTCCTAAGTCCTAAGCATCAGAGCTTGGGCCCAGAGCTTGCAAGCCCAAAAAAAGGAGCTCAAACATTGGAGCCCAAGGCCCAGAGCTTGGAGCTCAAAGGCCCAAAGGGCTCGCAGCACGCTGTTGACCACAGCTGCGTGTGCGCTGTGCGCCTGGCGGGCGCTCTTCTGGCACTAGGCGTGCTTCTAGTATCAGACAATTTCTGGTGGGGAACGGAGCGCTCTTCTAAGAGAATGTCGACCAAAACCACCAAGTAGGGGAAAGCTGAGTTGGTGTCCTTTTGGAAAGCTAGATTGGGTTGCCCAGTTTATAATTTCAGACCAAACACATCTCCGGTGCCTCGATCACCGCTGGGGCACATTGCTTGTTCCCCTCGAAGAAGCACCACCCCAGCAGGGAAACACAAGTCACACAAACAATTGGTGGCCCAAAGGTTGGCGGCCCAAAGGTTGGAGGCGCAAAGGTTGGAGGCCCAAAGGTTGGAGGTTCCAAAGGTTGGCGGCCCAAAGGTTGGAGGCCCAAAGGTTGGAGGCCAAAGGTTGGAGGTTCCAAAGGTTGGAGGCCCAAGGTCGGAGGTCAAAGGTTGGAGGCCCATAGTTGGAGGCCAAAGTTTGAAAGGTTGGAGGCCCAAGGTTGGTTGAGGCCCAAAGGTTGGAGGCCCAAGGAAAAATACTTCAACAACTTCCCTGCGTTGCGTTGGTTTCCTGAAATGGGAGTCAAACAAAACACAGCCTTCCAGGAAATGTCTATGTTCCTTGTCACTGCTCCTTGCCACTTGATATCCACCAGATCACAGCAGCAAGCCCCGCTCACCACCAAATCATCCCCTGAAGCCAGCCAATTTTCTCCGGGCGTGCCAGGCTCAATACCCCAGGACATGCAAGAATGGAGCGCACGCGAACCCAACGATGGACAAATCTCTAACACCCTTTGAAATCGCTCTTGCTGCACAGGTTGGTGCGCGCTCTCCTCATCCCCAGCAATGCGCACATTGCCGTCGGGCAACCAAATCGGTTGCCAGCTACCCGTGCATCAGCATGCCAAGCTGACTCTTGCCAGAAACACCCTTTGAAATCACTCTCGCTGCACAGGTTGGTGCGCGCTCTCCTCATCCCCAGCAATGCGCACATTGCCGTCGGGCAACCAAATCGGTTGCCAGCTACCAGTGCATGAGCATGCCAAGCTAACTCTTGCCAGAAACACCCTTTGAAATCACTCTCGCTGCACAGGTTGGTGCGCGCTCTCCTCATCCCCAGCAATGCGCACATTGCCGTCGGGCAACCAAATCGGTTGCCAGCTACCAGTGCATGAGCATGCCAAACTAACTCTTGCCAGAAACACGCGCTCAGCAATGCGCACATTGTCGTCGGGCAACCAAATCGATCGCTAGCTACCAGTGCATGAGCAGCATGCCAAGCTAACTCTTGCCAGAAACACCCTTTGAAATCACTCTCGCTGCACAGGTTGGTGCGCGCTCAGCAATGCGAAATCGATTTCCAGCTACCCGTGCATGAGCAGCATGCCAAGCTAACTCTTGCCAGAAACACCCTTTGAAATCACTCTCGCTGCACAGGTTGGTGCGCGCTCAGCAATGCGAAATCGATTGCCAGCTACCAGTGCATGAGCAGCATGCCAAGCTAACTCTTGCCAGAAACACCCTTTGAAATCACTCTCGCTGCACAGGTTGGGGCGCGCTCAGCAATGCGAAATCGATTGCCAGCTACCAGTGCATGAGCAGCATGCCAAGCTAACTCTTGCCAAGTACGGCGACCAAGCCTTTGCCGAAACTACACGTTTAGCTGGCCTTCTTGGGGGCAAGGGGTGCTATCCCGAGTGAGCATGAACTATAGCCTATTTGCGCTGCTCAAACACCGTCATCCCGCAGTTGCCATAAGCAACATTGGCGCGTGGCCAGCAATTAGACTGCTGGCCTGACTGGTTTTCAGCCGTGGCCTGCGGTGGTTTATGGCTCTGCCAGTGGCCGAAAAGGTGCCTTGCCAGCGCTGTGGAGGACGAGATCCTTTTGTGGGAGAAGGTGCCTGCTGCCCCTTCGTGCGATGTGAGCCCGCTCGCGTGGTGGCGTGAGCATGGATGCTTCATGCCGCACCTGGCCGAGGTAGCCAGGTGTGTTTTCGGAGTCCCTGCATCGAGCGCTTGCTAGGTCGTTGGCACTTTGCCGCGGCAGCGCCTTTGGCAGCCGAGGCTGCCTCAGCCTTAGCATCGGAGGCAGCACCGCGGCGGCGCTTCTTAGCCTGAGTTTCTCGAGCAACTTCCCCAGCCAGCGCAGACAAGGTCATGTGGTCCGGAACCTCCCGGCGCGCCACCACCTTCTCACGCAGGGCGGGGCTGTTCGCGAAATGCAGCAAGGTAAGAATTCATTTCCAAATCGGGCTTCCATGTCGCGACCATTCATGAGCTCCGCATTAGAACGCTCCATGTAGGGATCATGAAGATAGACTTCGTGACACAAGCTGTATCAGGAGGACGACGGGTTCAGTGAAGGCTGGAAGGGCGGGTCTGGAAAGGTTGGAAGAACCCAAAGATTGGAGGAGGTGACCAGCGGCCCCCAAAGCCCCATCGAAACGAATCGAAACGAACCGGGCCTTGGCAAGGAACCGGCTGCGAAACGAAACGCCCGAATCGTACGGCGATTCAGGGCTAGCGAATCGAACTCACCGAAACGGGCGTGCGCGCGAAACGGAACGAACCCAAACGAATCGTGAGAACCCTGTTGTTTGGGCAGGTATAAGTGTACAAACCAAAGCACTCTTGAAGGGTCAGCTGACATGTCCTCCCCAAATCAACCATAGACCACCACTAAGTTTGACCGTACCTCGCATGGAAACAACCGCATGGGCCCCTGCAAAAGCTACAGCCGCTCTCTCTGTCACAAGACAAAAGCCACCTTTGCCAGTAGATATGTGTGTGTGCGTGTGTTTTTCCTGGTGCGTGGGGGGAAAAAGGGAAATCCGCCCTGCAAAAGACATAAAAAATTTTGTGTTGCCTGGAGAATGGGAAACAAAGGGATAACCACTAGAACAAACATTCTCAGGAAGCTGTCCATGGCTCCAAAACCTCGTTGGGACCCAGATGCAGCGCACAGGTGTTCATCCGCGATGTCCAACAAGCGATCCCCAGAAACTGCCCCTGGGTGGGTCAGCGTGGGCCAGCGTGAGCATGCCTGCGTACACACTCAAGCTCATCACCGGGTGCCTCCGCGCCACAGAGGAATCTGGAGTCAAGTGCTCAACGAACTTCTTGAACTCCTTGGACTCCAAGTCCGCCTTGGTCCACTTGCCGTCCTTCGTGGGCGCAATCTTGGCGTGCCCCGTGAGGTAGGACTTCAACAAGTTCATGTCGCTGAGGCCGCCCTTCACATGCGCCTTTTGCACCTTGGCGGGGGCCATGCTTACCACGGGGTGAGGCTTGGACGCAGGCTGACACTGGCCACAGAGCTGCGTGCGGTCGCATCAAACAAGCACACGCGTCATGCAAACACTAGCAATGCTTGCGTCGCAGTCCTGCATGGGTGGGTGGGTTGGGTGGGTTGGCTGGTGGGTGGGTGGGTGGGCGGGCGGGGGGGCGGGTGGGTGGGTGGGTGGGGTGGGTGTGGGTGTTGGGTGGGTGTGGGTGTGGGTGTGGGTGGGTGTGGGGGTGGGGGTGTGGGTGTGCGTGTGGGTGTGGGTGTGGGTGGGGTAGGTTTCAGGGTAGGCGAAAGGTTTGTTCCCTCACACACAGAACCGGTCCGCCACCCGTCGTGCGCGGCGCTGCCTGAGCCGCTGGCGACTGCCGAGGCGAGCGCGCAAGAATCAGAGTGCTGAAACTGGGCGAAGCAGCAGGGGGCGGCGGCTTCGGCACAGACCTTGCTCCAAGCAGTGGCCGGGTTACACGCAGAGACGGCCAAACCGGTTCCCAGTCCTGGGTCATGGCATTTGAAGACAAGTTAGGGTCAGGCGCCAGCAAACACGGCCTGGCTGGAAAAGGCCTTCCAGTCGGGCACTGGCGGACCTCCGCAGCTGAAGCGCCTCGGCCTGGGAGACCGGAACAGGCTGCTGGCGACGCGGCCTAACGGTCCAGTGACGGACCTGGGCTGTGAGGGGAGAGGCAGGGCCACAGCGCTGCTGTTGCTCAGCCGCAGCACGGTGCTCCACTGACGTAAGGGCACGGACTCGATGCGCTGCAGAGGAAGGGACGGGCCGGCTGGACGGGGGCGAACGTTTGTCTGCTCGGGGCGCCGCTCACGCTCAGCAAGACCAAAAGCCACGGCCTGCTGGCAGATGGCTTCCGCACAGGTGTGCCGGTGCTCAAACCGCTGAGTGACCGACGGAGCCAGGCCATCGGGAAGTGAGGCGGCGCACTGCTGCAGCACGGCCAGCTGCTCCGGGGAAGGGGCAGAATGCCAATTGTAGACAGCGCAACGGCGGAAACGACGGAGCTGCGCAACCTGCCCCTGCGGGCACACATCCACGGAGAAGGCAACCGCCACATGATGGGGGATGCCAGGCAAAGGCCTGGTGCTTACCACACGGCAGGCAGACCAAAAGCCACAAGGCGGGTAGAGGCATTCGAGCCAATCACAGTGGGGACGACCGGGGCGGAAACCCCGCCAAAGACACGCACGAGCCGGTTATGCAGAGAGTGACAGTTGAAATCCACGACCTGGGCAAGCCACAAGCCAGCCTATTGACCCTCCGGCATGGCAGGCAGCAGTGTAGGGGTTCCAAGTGCCGATGGCGGGGTGGGTTTGGGGGTTGGGGTTAGGGGTGATTTTATTGTAAGTTGGGCTGGTTGGGTGGGTCTGTATGGTGTGATGGGACTGGTTTAAGGTGGGTGATGATAGGTGAGGTCATCCAAAACAGCGGCAAATGCCAAAGCCTTTCTAAGAAGCGACCGAAACTCTTGAGGGCTTCCTTGTAAGTTGTTTGAGAGGCTAGAATAAGAGTGCCTTTTTTTCTGTAGTCTATTTTACCCAAAAAAGGGGTAAACGGGGAGTACTGGCGGACCTAGACAAAATTGCCCTCCTTGAAAAAGTCGACTCCGACCTCTCTGCAACCCTGAGCCTGGCTGTCTCATTGAAATTCCGGAGCATGGGCACCAGGCCGTCCTTGCGGGAGCAGCGGGAGCCGACTCCGGAGGAGGCCTCGGCCAGGCGGCTGCACGAGGAGTTGGTCACTGAGGAGATGCTGGACAACGAGATGGCGATCCTGGCGCCCCTCCAGGAGGGCATGCAGGCCCTGCCGTCAGATGAGGTGGCCAACGAGGGAGCCCCTCAGGAAGGTCAACCTGGAGCGTTTCAAGGCCAAGCTGAGAGACCAGTACTTGGAGGGGAAGGGCGTTGACGCCAGCCAGGCATTGGCTGAGGCGATGGGCTCCATTCAGGAGGCCCAGGCGGCAAACAAGCGAATCCAGGACACCACCAGGCATGGATGCTCAACCACACTCTCAAGGGCTTGAGAGTGTGGTTGAGCATCCATGCCTGGTTGGTGTCGCTTGTTTGCCGCCTGGGCCTCCTGAATGGAGCCCATCGCCTCAGCCAATGCCTGGCTGGCGTCAACGCCCTTCCCCTCCAAGTACTGGTCTCTCAGCTTGGCCTTGAAACGCTCCAGGTTGACCTTCCTGAGGGCACGGGCTCCCTCGTTGGCCACCTCATCTGACGGCAGGGCCTGCATGCCCTGGAGGGGCGCCAGGATCGCCATCTCGTTGTCCAGCATCTCCTCAGTGACCAACTCCTCGTGCAGCCGCCTGGCCGAGGCCTCCTCCGGAGTCGGCTCCCGCTGCTCCCGCAAGGCCTTATGCAGCTCCTCCTTCTTCCTGATCGCCTGGTCCACCTGGGGATGGTAGAGCTCGAAGCTCTGAGCCTCCGCCTCTTTCAGGGACCGCTGCACTTTGACCCGGATCTCCTGGCTTTCCCGGACCTTCATCGCCTCGTCATCCGCCTCCATGGACAGGATCTCCTGCCGGATGTCCACCCGCATGTTAAGCGGGACCGCATCTGCCATGGTGATCTCATCAGCCGAGTCCGTTTTTGGAGGGGCTCTCCCCAAGACCGTGCCGTCCACCAAGTTGCGGTCGGCCTGTGCCAGGGTACCACCGGGGCCAACGGCACCCAGGCTTCCCCATTCCCGCTGCTGGATCCAGATTGGCTTGCCCTCCAAGATGAGCAGGTTGTAGGTGATGCCGTCCGCCTCATAGGTGGCCGAGGGTGCCTGGAAGGGGGCGGACTCCTTGCCGGGGCAGACCCAGCACTGCTTGGCTGCCTCTGGCCACCCCGTTCCGCATGCCTTGCACATGAACTTGTAGTCGGAATGACCTGCGTCGAGCCTGTACATGCGCTGGGTGCCGATACACGCCTTGTTCCTCTGGAACTGCGAAGCCCAGACCTCCTCCTGGCGGAGCTGGATCTTCATCGGGACGTACGCCTCCAAGATGCGGATCACCAGGTCCTCCGTGAGGTTCTTCCCAACAAACTTGTAAAACAGGGAGACCGCCTCCTCCACCGTGATGTCTCTCAGCAAGGTGGCCGCCGACGCTGGAAGGACTGGAAACAAGTCCGGGAGGTCCACCAGCTTGAAGTACCCAGGTTTTCCGTCCACCGGCACCAAGGTGACAGGTTTGTTGGCCTGAGACGTAGCCTTCTGAGAAGCCGCCACAAAGCCCTTCAGTCTCTTCGTGGGTGGCGTCTGCGCCTCCTCCGGTGGTGTGGCCCGCTCCGTGCCGTCCGCATCCCCCATGTCCCTGTCGCCCTCCTCGGCGGGGCCAGGGGCACCCAAGCCGGGAGTCGGTGTGGCAAATGCCACTTGGAGACGCTCCAGTGCACTGGAGAGGTCATTCATCACATCGGTCGCCGAAGCTGACGGGGGGGCCTCGGGCTCGTCCAAAACCAAGCCGGCCGCCACTGCCGCCTCCCGTGTGCGAATGTCCTGGGCCTCCTGGCTGGCCATTTCAACCTCCTCCACGGTGAGTGTCTGGTCCTCAATCAACTCAAAGGAAGTTGCCGAGGTTGCCGAGGAAGCCATTGCTTGGTCGGGGTTAAGTTCGAAAATGCAAAAGATCAAAGTTTTTCAATCAGCTTGGGTTCCAGGAACCCAGAACAATGCTTGAGCCAAAATGGCACATGCCATTATGGTCAAGCATTCCACACACAGTTCATGTTTCCACATGCGTTTCAACATTAACAAAGTCTATTTTACCCAAAAAAAGGGGTAAACGGGGAGTACTGGCGGACCTAGACAAAATTGCCCTCCTTGAAAAAGTCGACTCCGACCTCTCTGCAACCCTGAGCCTGGCTGTCTCATTGAAATTCCGGAGCATGGGCACCAGGCCGTTGCTGTGGCCTTTGATTTGTTAGGCCAAAAGCAAAAAGCGAATTGCTCGTGGGATATATACGCGTGTGTATATATATATATATATTTTTATAATGCACAGGTCCAACTCTAAAGTCTGAAAGTCAAGTCCAAGGACAACCAAACAAATACAACAAACCCTCCAAAGTCAAAAAGCCTAAAGGTGCTTTGAAGTCTTAAATGTGTTTTCAAGTCCAAAGGTCCAAGCAAAAGGAACCTTCGGAACGGATGCTAAAAAAATGCCAGCGGCCGTTGGTGCCGCGGATGTAGGACCCCCCGGCGCGCACGTTCGACACCGCCACGCCGATGCCCCCGGCACTCTTGGAGATCAAGGCACAGCTCTTCAAGGTGTCGTAGATGCCCTCGATGCTGTCGGACTGCACCTGAAAAACTGAATGGAAAACATCATATATCAGCTTCCCTCTCAAAGGGGAAGGCTCGGAATCCAAAAACGGGACACACAAGAAACATGGGATGGGATGCCCACTACCCCCAAACCATTCAAGGTGAAAATGGGGAAACAAGCCCTTAGATTGTGGCTACCTGGATCGCCAGTGGCGATCTTTCTTTTTTTGTTCATGCACTTTACCCCATAAACCAGCAACAGTGACTTTAAAAAAAGAAACTTGGCTGTCTAGGTGGAAAAACTCGGGTTTGCGGTAACGACCCCTCTGCTAAAAAAGTTTTCCACTTTTTGTGGGATTAGTGGAAAACCCCTTGCTTTCCCCAAAAAAAAGGTTTCGTGGAAAAACACATCCTTGGTTTCACTTTTTGTGGGTTTAGTGGAAAACCCCTTGATTTCCCCCCCAAAAAAAAACAGTCTAAAGATCCAACCCAATAGCAGCCAAGAAAATGAACGGTATTGCCAGCTTCCCTCTCAAAGGGTGCTTTGGAACCCGCTGGTGAGGTTTTCGGGGTGGGGAAACCACCCAGCCGCTAGGTTCAAACCCCCCAAATCGCCAAACCAAATTCAATTCAGGATAACCCGAGTATGCTCACCAGCCTTTTTCAAAACAAAAACTGAAGGTTTCAGGAAAAAGCCATCAGTCAAATTGAGTAAGAATTGTGATTTGTCTTTTGGGGGGATCATCCCTACTGTTCTTCCACACAACAAATTTGTGAATTTCGCAACTCATTCCGTTGACCATGGACAGTGATGTCTCCGTGTCCCAACTTGAGTGTGCGTTACTCACAAACCGGACCCCCAAAATGGATTTCGGTTTTCCCTTGCTCACAGGAGAATGGGTCGGGACAAAGTCAAGCAGTTTTGCTATTGTCCGAGCCCAAAAAGCGACTGAGGAAGTGAGATGGAGCATCATGTTTCAAGGGCTTGGAACAACAGCTTCTTGGAGAAAGAAAAAAACCGCTTGGAGAAAAACAAGGCGTCATGTTGTTTCCGCAATTATCAACCTGTTCAATGAACATCCGGACCTGCACCCAGGTGTCACTTTCCACTACTCGAAATGTCTATGGTCCATTTGGGAGGGGCAAGTTTCAAACACAAAGCCTACAATATTGGCTTTGGGGCTATGGGTCTCTGGCAAGCAATACTGTCAGCTGCGCAGGTGGCTGGAATCCACTTCGCACCGCTGGGATCTACCTGGGGAACAGACACGCCAACTAAAATGGGACACATCCAGTTCAAGAAAGGCCAACACTGGATTGAAAGAACCAAAGCCGCGGCCTTTTTTTTTGGTTTGCGGTTTGAAAGTTTCCCAAGTTGGGACCCGTCCCATCCTTCGGAGATGTCAACACGGGCCTTCCCGCGGGGCGGGAAACGTTACAAGCCCGAATCTTGCGGGCTCCGAATTTTGGCACGAAGATATGGTCCCCCCCTCCCCCCCCCACTTCCCTAAGCGGCTCAGGGACTGTCCAAGCCGATCCACTGCTCAAAGTGTTTCTCACTTGCGCTTTTTGTTTTTTCCCGCGGAACCTACCACGCAACCCACCAAAAGCAACTAAGCTCGACCAAAACTCTCTAAACCACACCCTAAAGCAACTCTAAAGCCGCTGCTAAACCAGCAGCACACCTAACACAAATCAGCTCCAACCCTAAACCCGCCCAACAGCAGCCTGGATGTCAGCCCTTCGCTTCGCCAATCAACCCCAAACCACCCCAAGACCCACCCTCATGAAGATCTAAGCCAGCCAAAACCCCCCGAACTTAAACCAGCCCCCAGCAACTCCCAACTGCCACCCAATCAGAGCCAATACCCCAGGTCCAAGTGATGCTGGTGATGCAGGGGATGCGGCCAGCCAGCCAACCAGCCAACCAACCAACCTTTGGCGCCTTCAGGAGGAAGCAGGAGGACATCTGGGGCCGCGGCGTGCCTCTCAGTGGTTCAGCGACCCTGGGAAAAAAAGGGAACCCTTGTTGGGGAAGACCATTTGTAGTTTTTGGCAGCCACCCAAACAAAAAAGGGGAAAAAGAAAAAGGGTGCCACCAAGAACAACTCGGCGTGCCTGCGTTGAAGAGCGTGGGGGTGGCGTGCGTGAAGAACTTCCGCGACATCAGGTCGTAGGTCTCCAAAGTCGCGCGGAGGTCTCCGCAGTGGATGCCGCAGGCTGCGCGCATAATCCTCAGTGACTTCGTTGAGGGAAGACTTGTTGGTAAGGAGACATGATTGGGAAGCAGTCATAATAAAATCCCGGTACTAAAATGGTCGACCCAGAGCCATGCTTCAAGAATTCAGAAGGAGTGGATGATTTCGTATGTTTTGAGGGAAGACTTGTTGGATCGAGCCAGATCGTTGTTTTCTTTCCTCCATGAACTTTAGCCCAAAAACCAGCAACAGTGACTGAAAAAAAGCAACTTGGCTATCTAGGTTGTAAACATGATGGGGAAGCATTGTGACAACTTCAGCTTTGGCAGTTGACCAATTTGGACCCTCTGCAAAGAACGACCAGTTCTTGGTGGTGCGAACCAATGATGCAAAGTCAACAAACACAGAGAAAAACGAAAACGCCACAACTTGCTGGTGCTCAGCAGGGAATGAGGGAATGACCCCTATAAGCAATCCCTTGTGTTTTCCTTTTAGGGAAGGTTCATTCCCAACCCGAACTCGGTCATTCCCTAGCTATCGCAGCAAGACCAGTCATGGGTCATGTGCTGGGGCCGTTCCACGATCTGTCCATGCACCCGGAGGAGGTAGGACTTCTCGAGGGTTTTGAAGCCAAAGTAGTCGTAGCCGAAGTCCCGCTTGTAGTCTACGGCTTCATCCAACTTCGAGGCATTCCTGGGCGATTCTGGTTGGGATTCTCCACAAATCCAACTCTGAACTCTAAAATGCTTTTAACAAAGAAAGGAGAAAACATATCGGAACCCTACCACGGATTGGCCAAATCCTGCGCCAGTCGGTGAAATCTATCCCAGTGAACAGGAAGGAAAACAAACCCTCCCAACTTCACTTGGTGCTTTTGCGTTTTTGTCGCCCTGGTCAAAACAAACCCGAGCTGCGAGCGCACAAAGTCATAGACCTCCTCCGCCAGCAGCGCGGCGGACCTCCCCTGCTGGTCCTTGTACTCGAAGAGCGCCCGGCAGGTCTCGGCGAAGGAGTCCGAGGTGTTCTTGTGGAGGTTGGACACCGCGATGCGCGCCGCGAGGATCGAGAAGTCCGGATGCCTCGCAGGGGCGAGTTGCCTTGAACAAAAAAAGCTGGGGATGGGTCAAAATGAAACCAGGATATGAACCGCAGGGTTTAGTCCTTGGTTCTATTTGCCAGGGTTCCATTTTGGGTACCTAATTTGGACCCACAGCTACCTGTTTCAACCAAGCTGTAACCTGTTTACACCATGATGTTGACTTCTCTTCTTCTTTCAACTCACGCTCATGTTCGATTCCCGGTAGCCAAAACGGGTCTGGAGTTTACAACCACCCCGCTTCTGGGACATGTAAGCACAGGTCTCCGCGGCTAAGGTGTCCACTTCGGCCGTGGAGATGCCATTGTAGAAGCCTGGGCTTGGCTTCAAAGGAGGGGAGGGGGTTGGCAACCCGGGCCCCTACCCCCATTTCTCAAAAGTTGAAACCTGTGTAACCCCAAAAAAGTCAACCTGTCGCTTCAAAAATGGCCCTACCCAGCTTTCCGTGGCCAGGGACAAGAGGGCAATGGTTCTTCTGCCAGATGTTCAAGGGAGAAATTGGTTGTGTTCAGAGGGTGTTCACCTCTCCGAACTAAAAGAGGAACAAAGGGGCAGCCATTACTTGGCTGTCCAAACTAATCCCCTGCTAAAAGTTACGCACACACTTCAAACCTTGAAAACCTAGAAACCTAAGAAACCGGACGGCTGGGAACGGCCAAAATATTAGCGGTCCGGCCTTCAATGACCTTTTGCGTGACCGGCACCGGATCAATGTACTCGCTATCCAAGCCCTCACAAAGCTGCTGAATACGCCGGGTGATCGAATCGAACTTCACCTCCTGCTTGTTTCCATCGCGCTTGACCACGTACATCTGCGACATGGTGCGGTGGCAAAAGCAAGAGAAATGGGCACTCCGAACTTGGACCAAAAATGCTGCACAACGGTTGTGGAGTTTTGTTCCAAACTCAGTGAGAACGGTCTCCTTTTTTTGGTGGCTAACCAGGCAAACCATCATATAAAACCTAGACTCAGTTGTTCAGTGACCCTGGAAAAAAAGGAAGAAACAGGAAAACGTGGTACCACTGAACAACTGAGTAGAGCCCAGGAATCCTGGCAGAGTGGCAATTGGAAGCACTGGCCCCTCAGCACATGCTCCTTGTCGCGCATCCCAAGGATATCCTCTCGCTCGTACACCACTTGCTTGCTGTTGAGTTCTCTGCCAAAAAAATATCAACTGCTTGTGGGTCCAACGGAAAAAAATCCGACCTGCTTCAGTCTGCAAAAAGTTCCACTGCTTGTGGGTCCAATGGACAAACTCCGACCCGCTTTCGAGGGGCTCGTTCCTTCAGATGTTCACCTCTCGCAACCTGATGCGGGCCCGCCTGCACCAGCCTCTCGCCCTGCGGGCCCAGCCCAGGCTCCTGGCACGCAAGTTCCATCCCCATGAGGAGTCCCTAAGGTCCATCCCAGGTGTCGGGCTTCCTCTCAGGTGAGTAGGTGGTTCAGTTGCGGAGAAAAAAATAAGCGAAGCACAGCGCAGCTTCCTTTTTGGGGGTGCTGAAGCTTGATGCCTGTGTGCCATGGAATGTGACACGGAAAAGTCGAGAAGAGAGCAGATGGTTTAACTTTTTCTGGCGAATGTCCTGGCACACCTCTGGTCCATAGCCAAGTGGCATGGTGACTGATTCATGCTGAAAATTTGTTTTGATGAGGCATTGCGAAACGGATCGAAGAGATAGCTAGAGAGAGAGAGAGAAAGAAAGAAAGAAAGAAAGAAAGAAAGAAAGAAAGAAAGAAAGAAAGAAAGAAAGAAAGAAAGAAAGAAAGAAAGAAAGAAAGAAAGCAAGAAAGAAAGGAAGGAAGGAAGGAAGGAAGGAAGGAAGGAAAGAAAGAAAACAACAAAACAACAACAAAAAAGAAGACAGAGAGAGAGAGAGAGAAAGAAAGAAACAGCAAAAAAGAGACAGAGGTAGAGACAGCGGCAAAGGCAAACAACACAAGTTGTACCTTGTTACTCTTCAAACATAGACATCCCCCGGGGCACACAACAGAGAGAGGGTCTTCACACAGATTTTCGCCCAACGGAAGGCATATGCCAACTCGCCACTCCACGAGTCACCGTCCGTCTCCCCGGGGCTGAACACAGCCGCACTGATTTCAGCAAGTCCCGGTTTCACTCACTCACACTGATTGCATCTTGGACACATGCTCTCGAGTATTTCCTTCTTTAAGTTGACACTTTCAGACTCTGATGACACTTTCAGATTCTGGTTGTGTGGTCTTCCCCTTGTCAAAACACGTTGGCATTGTTTCCTTTGAACACCACCAAAGGTGCCGAGCCTCAAAAGGAGCCGCCCAAATGTTTCAACTCTATGTGGGCTTGTCACCTTTTGTCTTGGGGGTGCCTTTCTGGGGAACTGCAGAGTTTTGTTGGGCCCCCTAGTTTAAGACACATGCTCTCGAGTATTTCTGAGGCAAGCTCTTCAGAGCTATTGCGGGCGAAATCCATGAAGCCTTATGGTTTCAAACACGGTACCGTTCAGAAACCCTGCAATGAGATGATTCGACGTAACATACCAACAAACCTTCTGGTTTCATGTCGTGCGAACAACCATCGCTTTTACAACCATCAATCATCTGTCTCTTTTCTCCATATTCATCATGTTGACCGAAGGTAAGTTGTAGGGAAGCGAGAAAAGTGAGTTTCAGTGATCGCCAGTGGCAGTCAAGTGATCGCAAATGTCTAGCTTGACGTTGGAAGGGGAGCAAACAAATTGATTTTTTAGCAGTTAAGTGGTTGGATTCCAACCACTAAACCGCAATAAGCAAAAATGTGCAAAAAATGTGTCCCAACATCAACCATGGTCTGGGGACATGACCCCCCAAATTAAAATAACTCGTCCCACACAAGAGGTGCGTATATGGAATTTACCCAACAACAACCATGACGTGGTCCGACGTTAAAAAGGACCCCCAGAAAACACCTCCGCCCATGTCTTCCCCTCCCCGAATCGAATCGAATCGGCTGCAGTGGGCTCCATGTGGCTGAATGGCAAGTGGTTTTTGCGTTGGAGAAAAAAAAACCGACCTTTTTGTGGTGGTTAAAGAGAAACCACGAGGAAAACCACCAAATGTGCATGGCTTTTTATGATGATTGTCTCAGTCTATTTTGTCATTGCTTTATATATTCATGTTTTTTTTTTTGGGGGGGGGTCCCCTGACAAGACACACGCCTATGTGATTTTTGGCAGGGTGTTTGAGCCCAACTTGGACGGAACCCAAAGCAACATGATTGCGGGCCGCCGCGATTTCACCCTTAAATGGCGATTGGGTGACTGGTGGTTTGGAGGTATGGGTCTGTCTTGTTTTCAGGGTGCCATCTCTGGTGGTTTCGAAGGGAAACCAAAAGGGCAATCGCCATGTTGAGGCGTCCCCTAAAAAAACTCAGACCCATATAGGGGACACTTTCCCATTTGGTTTCAACCAAGAACCAGGGGTACAAATTCCAAATCCTCTAATCCAAAGCACCTACTAAGAGGCAAACAAATCGGAGGGTTATCCTAAAGTCTCCGGATCCCCTCTCAAAACAGCCCCCCCAGCCCTCCAAAATTAACCACGGGGTTGCCCTGGTGGCAACCGAAAACTCACGTGACGCCTTCTGCGGCTTCACCCCCTCAGAGACGCAATCCAGCACCTGCGGCTCCGACACAGGGACTGCAGGGAAAGTCAACCGGCATCACCGCCGTGAAAGTGAACGGGAGGGAACGGCGAAAAGCTGAAGGGAAAACTCGTTGGGCAAACCAAAAAAGGCGAAAAGCTGGACATTGGAAAAAGGTGAGGCCCAATGTAGGTGTCCCGCGCAACGCGGGATGGACGAAACCCTCAGAACCCCAATAACTGCAGCACGGTGTGATCTGTTGGAATGAGGCAGACAATGACCCCATTCTGTGCAATTCAACCAAGTACCATGTGCCAGGGTAACTAGACTTATCGCATTCTGCCACACAGTTGTCATTTGCTTGGGTGTCTGGTATCATCATCCAGCCTACCCCGCTTGCTCCATGCGTTTGGCAAATCCGCCGGTGCCTGAACCCTTGACTCAGGTTGGTGTACTTTCACCCGCTGGACTCATTCCCGCAACGTCAGTCATTACAACGCTTGACGATTTCTCGTGAGTCCCGCGAGAAGAAACAAGGCGTTTATCACGTCGGGGACTTCAAGCGCTTGGGGAGAATCTGGAAGGCATCAAAGCAAAACAAATGTGGATGTCTCCAAATGGAAGAACCCACATGTGTGCTTCGGCTCGAGTTCTCTCTAAGCAAACCTAAAAGAGCATCTTGAACAACGGCACAGCCATTTCTGGAAATCAATCTCTCAGCTTCCCTCTGATTGGTGATCTAGATGGGTGCTTTGGTGCTTCGGGCAGGGTTTCACATTCACCCTCTACAGCCAGGGACCTACCTGAGCTAAGGGGTTTGGAGGCTTGAACTGGGAAACCACCACCGGGGACTGGGAAAACGCCTCCAATCCAAATCTCCACGCCTCCAATCCAACTCCCGTGCTCCAGGGATCCGTTCAAATCCACTTCCAAACCGATCCAAACCAGACAAAAATGGGGTGGGGAAGCTGAGGAACCCCAACTCCCGGGCTCCAACCCGTTCAACTCCAACTGTGGCTCAAAAAACCGGAATTCCAAAATGGGTTGCCCTGGTAAGTGGAAACATGGACCAAAACCTGCAGTTTGCCCCTCCTGGTTAATTTTGAGCCACACCCAACTAGAGGCTCACTGAGCTTTTGTAGCTCCCGAAATGGTTTCCCATCTACCCTCTACAAGAACCAAGGGTTCAAACAGGCTAACCCACAGCTTACGGCTTGTGGGTCAAAATGGAACCACTCTGGGACCGCAGGTTTTAGCCCATGTTTCCATTTACCAAAGCTCCATCTTGGCACCTATTTTTTTTACCCACAGCCACATCCATGTTGGAGAACCCAAAACAAAAACCGGGCGCCCGAACCAACGGCTCACGGCGTTGGCGCCGGTACGCCGCCCGACTCTCCCGCCTGCGCCGCCAGCTGTGGGTCGCCCAGCTCGTGGGCGGCGCAGAGCAGGGCGCGGCGGTCCGCCGCGGAGGGCTCCAACTGGCGGCGGTAGGGCGGTGGGAGGCTCAAAGCTATGGAATGGGGTGAAGAGGCGTGGCTCCTTCTTTTCTTGGGGGAGGAATTTGGGGCTTAGTGGAGCTCAAAGCATCTAGGTCCTCCAGTAGGGAGGCTAGAATAAGGGCGCCCTTTTCCTGTAGTCTATTTTAGCAGGGGAACCCTCCCCCAATAAAGGGTAAAAGGTATGGATGGACGGAATTCATTTCGTACCACTTTGAAACCGTGGGACACCACAACCTTTGTGGGTATTTATTGGGGAATAATCATCCCAGGGTTTCTGAACGGTGGTGCAGGATTTCGTCCATCCACAGCATGGAATGGGGTGAATAGGTGTGGCTCCTGTTGGGCCGGGGCTTAGTGTAAGGAGGGAATGGGCTGAATAGGTGTGGCTCCTTTTTTCGGGGGGGGGGGGGGGAATTTGGGTATCTAGGTCCCATCAACTGTTTTCTTGTTTGTCTATTATAGTAGGGGAACCCTCCCAACCAAAAAGGTGAGGAAGGGCACTACTGGGGGACCTTGGGCTTAGTGTAAGGAGGGAATGGGTTGAATAGGTGTGGCTCCTTTTTTTTGGAGGGGGGGTGGAATTTGGGGCTTCTAGCAGAGTGCAAGGAGTGTAAAAGGCGGCAGCAGCAACGGGTGTGGCTCCTGTTGGGTAGAATTCGGGGCCCAACAGGAACCATGTAAGGAATTTTTCAGAAGGCGGCGAAGGCACCCTGTGGTGTGGCTCACCCTTGCCCTCCTGAGAGAGCCGAAAACTTCAGGCACTGCCAAAGATAGGTCACCCCCGTTTTAGCAGGTGTTGAAGGGACCCCGCAAGGAAAACCCATCATTTTTTAGGGGGTCTCCTTAAAAAAAGAAGAAGTCACTTTCAGACAAACGCATCACTGACAACAAGAGCCTCCTTTGGGGCCGTGTTCAAAGAAAAGCAAGGTCCTAGTTTTGACACACAGGGCGAATGAGACATCACGTGCTTTGTTTTTGTCCGAGGAACCCAGAAAGTTGAGCCGAGGTCAACCATTCGGGGGCCTTGAAAGGGGCAGCCAGCCCCACCTCTCCATAGGAAGATGACCGACCCACCTGTACCAAACAATCCCATGGTACTGTCGACCCCATACTAGCCTAATCAACCCCAGTTTGTTAATAGGAGGATGGAAAGCCCTCCAAAAGTTGTCTGAAATTGCAACCACATTTCACCCAGCGAGAAGCACCCCCCCTATTAGTAAACAGGTTGATTGATGAATATGGCGTCAACATTAATTCATTAGCATGCTTGTCTTCACATATAAATATATATGTAGATGCGTGTGTATATATATATATATATGTATTAAACCCAAGGAAGCTTGAGATCTCGAAGCGCGCTCGGATCACAAATCTGCAACGCGCAGCCATTGCGATTTAGCAATGAACGAGCCGCCAACAATTAGGATGTTAGCTGGTACTTCCCACCAAGAGATGCAACTAGTTGAAGCTTCCTCCTGGCAATGCCTTCTAGTGCAAACTGCTTCTCCGACCCCTGCTCGGGGAGAACACATAGCAACCACTCCGGATTCTAGGTCAGTCAATTGCAGAACTGGCAGCTGAGACTCACAGAACGCTTCAAGCAAAGGTGCACAAAGATGGCGAGCAAACACCGAGCAAAACCAATGCAAATATTGGCCCCTATGGGCATACATGATAAAACGGGGTCAATGATCGATGGGCAATGTGCGGCAAAAAAAGGAGCACGGGCTTTCCATGCCTTCTTCACAAAAGAAAACAAAAAGTCTTGGACCGAGTTGTACCTGACGGCGGGGGCTTCATCTCTTGAGTACCCCAAGCTGGACATCCAGTGGTCGATTTCCCCAAAACGGGGACCTTCGGGTTGAAGCGTGGATTTTCTGGAACCCCCTAACTGACCCAGACGGGTGATTTTTCCTTCAGCAGGATGGGGCACGGCAAGTTGACGTGCACCCAAAACGGGGTGTTGGGAACCCTATCTGACCCAAAGAGACCCCCAAGATTGGTGCCTGATTCAAAGTTAGGGCCCCTTTTTGTTGTGGTTTTAAAAGCAAAGAGAGGAGCTTCGTCATTTTCCGGGGTCCCCTAAAAGGGCCGAGCCATGTTGTTCCACCCCAACCCAAGG